TTAAGGAAAGAAACAGACTAAATAGACTAAATCTTTTCGGTTTATTATCAAAGATAAGCATCAAATTTAAAATTAACAAAAACAAATGACTCTAAAAATTTCTATAACAAAAAAAAAATCAATTCCTTAAAACAAAATTTAAAAAATAATAATAGTTTAAGATGAAGTCCAACAAGTAATTTATACAAAGAAGTAACTGTTAATCTTTTTAATGCCAGAAGCCTTGCAAATAAATTTCATGAATTTGATTTATATACAGAGGTTGTCAACCCAGCTTTAATTTGCATATGCGAATCATTTTAACAATAAACCAATTGTTTAAATAAATAATTTGCATATGCGAATCATTTTAACAATAAACCAATTGTTTAAATAAATAATTTGCATATGCAAATCATTTTAACAATAAACCAATTGTTTAAATAAATTGTTTGTTCAAATGGCTGCTCAATTAATTGTAAAAAATGTTTGAAAATTGGAGGAGTCGTTATTTACTATCAAAATGGTATTAAGTCCAAGCAAGTTCGGATCAAAACCAATATGGATATTATTTGCATTGACTTATTCTTTGAAGCCCACAAACTTCATTTAATTACATGCTACTGTTTACCTTCTTATTTCAAAATAGATTTTGACTATCCTTGTCTCTATGGTGTCAATTATTATTTATTTTTGCCTCTCAGTTTCTCTATTTGTTATTGTTAGTGATTTTAACTTACTAAAAATTGACTGGCTAATATACATTTCATCAAATGAAAAGTGTCACAGCTTTTAACTCAATTTTAACAATTTTTTAACAATTTTTAACTCTAGTGAATAGTCTTGGTATGCATAAATCAACACGCGAATCTAATATTCTGGAACTTGTTTTTTCTAATAAAATTTCTCTTTTATGCAAAATTTCTGTTGAGTTTTTAGCACCAGGTACCATAACTCAGTCCATTTTTCATTAAATATTAATGATAAATATCAGTACAAAAAGAAATCTGAATCTTTTTATGATTTCAACAATGCTGATGTCACCTATTTTACTTTTCAAATATTAATCATCAAATTTTCTTATGTTTTCAATATTGACAAATATTGGAACATTTTCTCAAATCACTTTTGGATTGAGATTGACCATCGTAGTATAAAGAGACATCTTTGCCCTAGATATATTAAGAAAATGTTAAGTTGCAATTTATTTTTATGAAAAAGATATTCCATTATTAAAATCCACAGAAAATAGCTTACATCACATACGTCATTAAATTTAAACAAACCTTTCTTTCTTACCTTAAAAAAATCGAACGCAAATTAGTTGATGACAATAAACTTAGTAAGTTATTTAACTATGCTAAAAAAAAAATTACCCTATAAAGGATAAGTACAACAGTGTAAGTTAACTTCTAGTAAAGAAACTGCTGACGTTTTTAATAAACACTTTGGAAGTATATTTACTGATAATAACAACTACTCTTCAAATATTATTAGCTTTCTTAACAACTTTATAAATATTGAAGACGTTAACTTTTCTGTTGAGATGGTTTATTTAATCAGTTTCAAATCCAGTACATCTTATGGTTCTAACAGAATACCGAATTTTTAAAAAAACTTCTTGTTTTATGTACTTGCAATTATATTTAATGCTTTAAGTTAAATACTTTATCACAACAATGACTTAAACTGTTGTTTCTCTAATTTTTAAAAAAGAAACAACATCAGACATTAGTCTATATTAGAATATTGCTCCCCAGTTTGGTCAGCATATCATGTTTAACGAATAAAGGAAGTTGAGAACATGCAAAATGTTTCCCAAAAAAAAATACTGCACTTAAGCAATTTAACCTTCTATAGTTGACTTCAGTTGGAGTTCACTTGGAGTTCACTTGGAGTTCACTTGGAGTTCACTTGGAGTTCACTTGGAGTTCACTTGGAGTTCACTTGGAGTTCAGTTGGAGTTCACTTGGAGTTCACTTGGAGTTCAGTTGGAGCTGCTTGAGATTAATTGTATTCTAACTATTTTATGTTTTATAAAGTTCTTATAAAATTTTTATTAAAACAATTTTTACTAGATATAACACTGTTAATTAAATAGCATTCTGAACCCAAAATCAAATCTTGAATCATTTTTTGCATAAGAGTATCAAAAAATCAATTCTTATGAATATTTGTGGCTGCTACAGATATGACTTATTCAAATCTGACTTATTTATATTAAGGTGGTACAACACCAAATATTTTCTCAAAATCTTCAAAAAAATGAAATTTTTGATATTTAGCTTATTTGATAGGCAATTTATTGTAGATTAATAATATATAAAGTTAGTTGGAAAATTTTTTTTTGATTTTGAGAAAAAGTAACTTTTTAATAAAAAGCTCCGTAGCAACGGCCTTAGCAACGCAAAACATCCCTAAACACAACTGGATAATTTCTAGTTTGTTCTGTAATTAATAAGTCATAAGCTTAAAGTTTTTATAGTGGTTTTGCATTATTACTTTTTCAAAATAAATTAAAAACAAAATCGGTTAATGTTGCTTAATTTGTTGAATAGTTAATAGTCTGACTGATTAATAAAACATTTGTTCTGAATAAAAGACTTGGGTTCTGTTAACTTATTAGCCTTAAAATGGTCAGATCCTATGCTAGAAGGAAAAAAAGACACCAAGGCATTAATCGTTACGACAAAGCACAAAAATTCAATGCCAGAGCACAGTTATACCACAAGAGCCAAATACCTTTACAACATTAGCCAGTGCAATTATTGCAAGGAAAAATCCAGAACTTGTTTATAATGATTTTAACTTTATAATGAACTTTGAGTTACTTCATTTAATGATTCTCGAAGTTATGAAATGTCCAAGTTGCTTTTCTTTAATTATCATACAAAATTGTTCTAATAAAAGAATGGGACTTTGTTTGACTTTGGAACTTTGCTGTACTTCCTGTGATTGGTGTTATTTATTTCAAACTTCCTATTTCAAATCTTTTTAATAATTCTGTAGGAAGAGATAGCTATGAAATAAATGTTCTTTCTGTATTGACATTTAGAGAAATAGGTGAAGGTTATGAAATAATGAAACTATACCACAAACATGCTATGGAAGGTGCAGGTGCAATTACTATTTTCCATCGGTCTGTCAAAAAATATAAGTTACAATATACTAGTTATTTGGGTGATGGTGATACCTCATCGTATTCTACAGTATTAGCTTCCATATATTTGTATTTCAATAATACCTGTATTTAAAGACTTAAGCAATGAAGAACTACTTGAAAAGTGTCTACACGGTCTTACACAAAATAATAATGAAGCATTAAATGCTATAATCTGGAAACGATGCCCCAAACATATATTTGTAAATAGAAGTATTATGAAATGTCAGTAAATTCTGCAATTATTAATTTTAATGAAGGTACCCATGGAATTATTGATGTTTCAAAAAATTTGGGAATACGTATTGGACATTTTACTCATATCGGATTGATTAACCGTGATAAATGCAGAATTAAAAAATGTACAATCAAGTCTTCACTTACTGCAAAATCCCAACGACAGAAGTTGCGCCACCATAAAAAAGGGTTTAATGATAGGGAAGTTAAAACCATGCCAAGCTTATTCTTCTGGATTTTATTAGTTTTTCATACTTTATAGTTAACTTTTTTTTGTTATCAAATCTTCTTTTGCGTTTTTCTTTGTTTTTGATTTTTGTTAAACATGGTGTTATTGAAAACACGATATCTTGTGAAGTAGTAAAGCAAATCACTTCAAATTTTCAGGAAATGTTTATTATATTATTTTGTAGGGAATGACATTTCAAAATTCTAAAATTATTCTCCCATCTCCTTATTTATTAGTTTTAAGGCCTAAAAAAAATTTTTTTTTAATGTTGTATAGAAGAACTGCGATAGTTGTTGATGTAGCCAAATAATCTTAAAATCCCTATGTTAATACCTTAGTTTAGATGTCCAGAACAAGTGCAAAAAATTTCATAGGTTATGCATTAATATATTTCAAGATAATGTGTTTTGAATAGACCCACCAAAAAGACGGTTTTTGATATAAGCGAGGCAAATTAAGCGAGACAAAACAAAGTTAAGTTTAAAAAAAGCATTCTTAATTTATATATTTTGCATTAATATCAAATTGATTTTTTTTTTTTCAAGTTTTAAAGAATTTAGAATATTTGGTGGTGTAACACCTTAAGTTAGATATAAAAAAGTCTAGTACTCTTCTAGTTTTTAAATTTTGATGTATAGAATATTATTCTATACATCAAAATTTATAGAATAAGTTAAGCCATGCAAACATTTTTCGATAAACTGTATTTTAGTTCTGTTTATTAAACATTATTTTTTGAAATAGCAAAACAACCTCAAAAGAGAAAATTTTTATTAAAACAATTTTTACTAGATATAACAATGTTAATTAAATAGTATTCTGAACCCAAAATGAAGAGAAAATGGATGCTTTTATTTTATAAAAATGGTGAGTTATCTATAAGACCTGAAATGCTGTATTAAATGGTAGGTTTTTTAGCTCATAATCAAGAGATTAAAGGTTTAAATTCATCCTATGCCTCTGGAAGTACTCTGTTTTTTGTGCAGCCTTTTTATTAACAAGGTTTGTGTTTCAGAGTTTATAGTTAAGAAAGAGTTTCAAATAAAATTAAAAAAAAAAAATTTTAATAATAGCAGTAGCAATATAAAATAAAGGCAATTTACTATTTAATATAGGCAATTGAACAATTTAAAAAGTATGATGATGATGATGATGATGATGATGATGATGATGATGATGATGATGATGATGATGATGATGATGATGATGATGATGATGATGATGATGATGATGATGGTGATGGTGATGATGATGATGATGATGATGATGATGATGATGATGATGATGATGATGATGATGATGATGATGATTGATGAAATAAGTCAAATCATCAAAAAAATGCTAAATATTTTTTATTTTTATAACTTATTACATAATTTCCTTTTTTAATTTTAGCTAAAACAGAAAGAAGAAAATGCACGATTAGAAGATGAGGTTTAATTAAAATATTTTATTTATTCTTATCAGTTATTTCAATTATTTTTGTTAAAATTAACTTATAATTATTTTAAGGCTTTTATTCAAGCAAAAATGGAAGCTTCTAGACGAAGTAAAGAAAAGGTGAATAATTAAGTTATTGAAAAGTTAAATCTTTTTATTGAATAAAATATTTTTCATATATTTTTTTAATATCAATAATATTGTTGTTTTCATAATATATCAATAATATATGATAGTATTCAAAAAAATTTTATTGTATGTTAGTAATATATTATAGGCTATGACCAGTCAAAAATGTTAACCAATTGAAACTTGATACAAATAAATTGGTTTAGGGTCTAGATTGGATCTAGATTGGAAAGTATTTGTTCTTTAGGTTGAGGGTTCAAAAAATACCCAATCCATTATAATGAAAACTTGAGTAATACTTTGCACATTTTTGTAAATGACCAAGCATTTTTGTTCAAATAAAAAATTTTTTTTAGCCATTTGATAAATCTCGCTTACCAAATATGAAGAGTTTAAACAGTGTACAGTTTGCAAAATGGCTTTCTGAAGAAAATATAGATGTAACAAGGTATATATTATGTAGTATTTTTTATTAATATAAAGAACAAATATGAAGAAACTAAATATTCTTTTCACTTATATACTATACACAGCGGACCAGAGAGACTGTCAGTTTTTATGTCGTGTCAATTAGAGAAAACTTTTTTTTATTTATTAGTATTTATTTTATAATAATAGAAAAAGTTGTTTTTAAAATCTAAACCAAGTGCTAAGGGTCCCAAATTGGGCAAAAGGGAAGATTGAGGGGTCTCAAACCCATTTGAGATTTTTAATTTTTTTTTCTCTCTCTGTATTTATTTTAGAAGTTTAGATTTGCAAAATTATTAAAAAATTATGATATTTCATTAGTCACGTACAGTGCCCCCAGAATCTAATAAAATATAAAACTCTTATTTTTTTATTTATTTATCAATCTTTTTTTAATTTATTTAAATGAATTGAATAAAATTCAAAACAATAGTGACTAATATTTACAAATACTACTGACATATGGAACATAAAGCACCTAAACATTACCTACTCTTCTTCCTTTAAAGTCAATCACAGAAGAGAGGAGTCTTCCATCATATTCTTTGTTTGTAACTTGTCGTTTGAACCTGATCTATGTTGGTTTAAATTTTGAGTGAACTGATTGTGAATAAACTCCGCATTGTTCAGCAAACTTAGATTAACAACACCTGTGGTATTCAACAAAAGGTTGCACATGACACAAAAGTATATGTACTTTCCAACTAATTGAAAGTTTTTTTCCAAGAATATCTGCAATTTCTTTAGCAGATAAAAAGGAGTTCTTAAATTTTAGAAAGGCCTGCTGATACCCAAGCTCAAGTGTTCTACCAAAACATGAATCTTTTACAATCTTAAAGTCTTTTAAACATTGAACAATTGGCAGAAGATCAGGATATTCATACAAAACAACTCTTTCCAACTCATCAATACACTTTTGTATCTGGTTTAATTTTTTTTTTGTTTTTGTTTTTTTGTTATTCACCTCCTCAAGGCTGACAAGGCCACTACAGATGAGGAGGCTACTTAATAGTGGTTATAACCCTCTCTCAACTCTATAACTCCGAAACACAAACCCTGACAAATAAGGCAGCTGCCCGGAGAAACAAATTGAGCGCGGTACTATCAGGGACGTGGTGGAGAGATTGAACTCGGAACCTCTCGCTTATGAAGCGAGCGTTTTACCACTACACCACTACCGCATACAATTATTCCCATCCCAACCTCTGCCTTGATATCCTCTCTGTAGAACAGCACTATTTTTCAAAAAATCATCAAAACCTGGCCAAACATTCCAGTGTTGTTAATATTCCTATCACAATATCATAGATGAGTTTTTTCTGGGAATTCCCGGAGTTCCGGAAAGTCACTTAAAACTCCTTTAATTTTCCAGAATTTTCCGGATGTTTTTTGTTATTAATTTGAAAAAAAATTTATATATTTTTACATAAAATTTTAAATGCAACAACTTTTACATTTAAACAAATATGTTTTCTATAATTAAAATTTTCATGAGATAAATTTTCGTAACAATTTTTTTTATTTTTTATTTTTTTCTTTTTAATTTATTCAAATTATCTTTTTCGAATATTAAAAATTCCTTTTTGTAAAATGTTAAATAATCTAAATTCCGTTTTAAAAGTTTATGAAAGTTTTTTTTTGTCTCTTAATACGATCAATTTTTAATAAAATAATTTTCCGGGATTTTCCAGGATTTTCATAGAAAAAAATTTCCAGGATTTTCATAAAGTCAAATACTCATCTATGTAATATGTAATTCAGGGGAGGTATTAAATGTTGGAATAATGTATCTGGATCTTCGTTGAGGTAGAGAATTCTTGGATATATCATGTTCATAAATTGTTTCATATTGGATTTCTTTGAACTATTTTTTTTTACCTGGATGGCTTGGTTTTCCAAAAGCTGCATTAGCACATTTCAAATTAAAAGCTGCTAAAAACTTAGTACCTTTAAGCTGCTGAAAACTTAGTACCATTAAGTTTCTCTAAAATTATTCTTAATTTGAAGTTTGATTCTTGCACATCTTCAACTATTGAGAGGATTTGACATCGTTGTACTATTTAAGTATAAATTTGAAGTAGTATTCTCATTAACATCAAAAACATTTACAATGACCTTCATGAAACCACCTCCTCCATCCATAGAAATACGAAGAAATGCTGACTGGGGATCAAGACAACGTTGAATAATTAAATCAAGAATGAAACTAGATGTGTCTTGAACAAAAACTTTTATAGAAGTGCCACCACAACTATCAAGGAAGTTGACCTGAAAAATTACTTTTAGAAAAACTTTTAACGCTTTAATTAATTTTCAATACTAAAAGATATATTTGATATAAGATATAATTGCTACCTTTTCTACTTGATAAAAATGCCATAAAGACTCTTTTAGGTCACTCATTTTTCCAAATATATTGTTTTCTACAGCCAACTTACTTTCTATTCTTTTTCAGAAAGTAGGTATCAATAGCTCCGTTTTACTCAGGGAAAGTTCTTACACTATTTGAAGTTCTTTAATCATCTGAAGAGATACTTGTTTAACTGACCTAGGTATAAATGAACAAAATATTAATATCTTCTCATTTGATAAATATGTACTCAACAGTATATAAGTACCTTTTCTTTTCAGGACATCCAACAATAATCATCAATGGGTTTCCGCTAGAAGATAAAAAAAATTGTTCCCCATTCGCAATTTCGTCAGTCACCATTTTTGCTTTTATTATACTAAATGCAACTTGCTCTGCTTGCAAATTTCCTAGACTTAATGCTAACAAGATCAGGTTATCTACTGCAGGTAAAGAAGAGCAGTTGTGTAAATATCCTTTTGCAATAGTTGAAAAATATATAGTTTGGAAGACACACTTGAGTGTGATATATTAGGAACTTCCTCGGTATGAATTGTTGAAGATAAAGCTGTTCTTGTCATCATCCTCCATTCAATCTTGAATAAATTTTAAAAGCTCTTTCATAATTATGTATGTATAAACATATATATATATATATATATATATATATATATATATATATATATATATATATATATATATATATATATATATATATATATATATATATATATATATATATACATATTTAAACAATTTAAAAATGTATTCTACAAAATAAAGTGCTCAATGTTCTTAAAAGAACAGAGCAATTACCCGACTTTTATACCTGATTTGGAAAATTTTGAAACTGACTTATTGCACTTAATTAAAACAATAAAGTTTTGCACTATCAAAAATAAATTTCAAACAGAATTAAAGTTAAAAAAAATAAAATCAAACCCTAATTTTTTTTGTTTTGTTTTTGCTGTTAAAACAAATATCAAACTATGAAAAAATCTTATGTGACAATATTCTAGTTCTTATGAGAAAGCCCCACATAATACAAAAAATATGTAAAATGCAATTAATTTAGAAGCAAAAAGTATTGCTTAAAACATAAACCTTGATAACAGAATTACTTCAACTGCCCCTGCCCAAGCCTTCGTAACACTAAAAAACCATAAGCCAAATTTTCAAAACAAACTTCCTTGTAGGATATTGGTTCCCTCAAAAAGTGAGATTAGACATGTAAGCAAAGTTAAATTGAACAAAATTAGAAATATTCTGAGAAATAAATTAAATTTGCAACAGTGGAAAAATACCACTGATGTTATAAATTGGTTCTCCATAATGGAAAATAAAAACTGACTGTACATTTATTCAATTTGACATTAATGATTTTTACCCCTCAATAACTTCAGATATTTTAGATAAAACAATTGAATTTGCGAAAAGCCACACAGTTATTCCTGAAGAAACAATCCGTATAAAACATTGTAGAAAAATGTTACTTTATTTTAATAAGGAAACTTGGAAAAAGAAAAACATACATGACTGCGTTGACGTAACAATGAGCAGTTATAATGGAGCAGAAATTTGTGAATTTGTTGGACTATATATTTTAGATTTATTAAGTTAAATAATCAATATAAATGATTTAGGCCTTTATCACAACAATGGTTTAATAATAATACTTAAAAAATCTGGTCCACAGCTCTATAAAATTAGAAAAGATATAAAAATTTTTTAAAATATTGCCTTTCAAATCGAAATAAATATAAATTGAAAAATTGTGAACTTTCTTGACGTACCATTTAACCTCCCTGATAATTCATATAAGCCTTTCAAAAAACCAAATGATGAATTATTGTATAATAATATTAACTCAAATCATCCACCCTAAATTCTAAAACAAATTCCGATTTCAATTAATAACATGCTAAACCAAAAATGAAAATGTATTCAATTCCTCTTAACAAATGTTTGAAGATGAAGACCTTAAAAAAAGTGGTTTTGAAAATTTTTAACTAAAATTTTACCCTGTAAAAAAAGAATACAAAAAAGCGAAATAGAACTAGAAATGTAATTTGGTTCAATCCCCCATATTGCAAAAATGTTTCCACTAACATAAGTAAATTTTTTTTAAAATTAGTTGATAAGCATTTCCCGCCCTCTAATAATTTACATAAAATTTTTAATCAAAATGCAGTTAAAGTTAGCTACAGTTGCATAAAAAATATGGAAAGAATTATAAAAGGTCACAATAATGCTTTGTTAAACAAAAAAGAAATCCTAAATGAAAAAACTACAGAAAATTGTAATTGTAAACAAAAAAAACAATTGCCCAATGAATGGAAGTTGTTTATCCAAAATATGTGGTATATAAATGTGTTGTTTCCTTTAAGAATGTACCTAATAAACAATATATTGGCATAGCAGAGGGTGAATAAAAAAACGTTTTGCCAATCATAAGCAATCCTTTAAAAAAAAAAGTATTCAAAAGACACCATGCTGTCAAAATATATATTGGAATTAAAAGATAAAAATATTGATAATTTTATAATGAAATAGTCCATCCTTAAAACAGCATCTTAAAAAAGCTTTATAACAATATTTCCAAAAAATGCATACCATGCCTACAAGAAAAA